CAGAAGAAGTAATTTGCTCCTAAAAGGGGGGTGGGTGGGGGGTGGGAGTCATGGTCCAAAAAATCTGGGGGATTCTGGGAGTTTCAAAGAAGTAACTTGCGCAAAAAGGAAAAAAATGTAAATAAGTGGAGGATTCTGGGAGTCATGGTCTGAAAAATACCTTCCGATGTGAGGCCAGGGAAAAAATGATACAAGGCGCTGCCAGCTTTTCATAGAGAGTGTATTTTTGTCTCTCCTTTTACATAACATCTTTTTCACTTTCTACTGTCAAGAATCATCCCCCTCCCCCCACAGACACACACACAGTTCTGCCATTTAGCAAAAACTACAAAGAATCCTCTGGCACTTTAAAGATTTACAACTAGAGGGTGATGAAAGCTTTCCTGGGCTCTGTGCATTCCATGCTATATGTGAGGCATTAGCTCATCTGGAAGATTTATATGTGCTGCTTGGCTGGTGAAGAAGGCAGGATTGCAATCAGCAAGGACAGATCTTTAAAGTGGTCCGGTAGAATTGAAATGTGAAATCAGTACATCTGATTACCAAAAGTCAGTTTCTTTGGGGAACTGGCTCAGTTCCTAAAATTTAAACCTGCATCTCTTATTTCAGGAGTCACTTGAAGGTCTCTGTTATGCTTCCCTGCCTACCTCCAGCACCATCTTTCTTCTCTCTTTAGGCTTTGATGACTTCAACCTCTCCATCCACACTGACATGGCTTCTGTCACCAAGGCAATGGCCTCTCCTGAGTCAGGTCTGGAGGTGCGGGACCGCATGTGGCTTAAGATCACCATCCCCAATGCCTTCCTAGGTATGGTGCCAAGAAAGGGGAGGGGGGTGGTAGGTGGTCAGTTAGCAGAATTCCCCTGAGCAAACCACCGCACCTCTTATCAAACCCCATTTGGGCTGGAGGATATAGGCAGGTTGATAAAGTCAGTAGTTTTGTTAAAAATAATTTAGAGGGTTTTTGGAAAAAATTACCTGTTGATCAGATTTTAAAATATTCTTAACACAAGTAATAAAAGAAAACCTTAGGTCAAAATAAAACATCAGGATTAATTATATTCTGTGAGTATATTAACAGCAGTAAATCTGAGAGCCAGTGGGATGTAGTGATTAGAGTGCTGGACAAGGACACTAGGAGACCAGGGTTTGAATTCCTACTCAGCCACAGAAACCCACTGGGTGACTTCGGGCAAGTCACTGTTTCTTAGCCTCAGAGGAAGACAATGGCAAACCGTCTCTGAACAAATTCTGCTGAGAAAACTCCATTTGCCTTAGAGTCACTATAAATCAACAATGACTGGAAAGCAGACAAGAATAACAGTTGATCTGGGCAGTCCCATTCTGCAAGTGGTCTTCGTCAGTACTCTTATCTCCTTTCTCCACTCTCATTCTGTATTCTCATTCTTCTCTCAGTGCAAAAACAGAGAAGGTCAGAGAATAGAGAATTTGAGGAAATGGATGAGGTCTGAAAAGGGGAGAGGAGTTGGTACGAATGCAAAGAATCACATTTTTATGTACTGAAAATTAATCTCAAAACATTTCAAAAATTATTCTATAGTATGTACACTGGACCCTTGGAGGTCCAGTTCCCCGGTGGATGGCAAAAACCATGGATAGTCTCCATATTATTCATTGCTGGTGACCTGTGCGTGGACACATCTGTAAGTACGCACCATTGAATAATATGGTCACCAGTCCACTGATATGGAGAGTCCAATGTACCATTCCTCTAACAAAACCTGCATTGCTGAATATTTAGTAAACGCTATTAAACAAAACACATTCTTATTGGATTAGAAGTTACAATTATGTGTTTCTTCTAAACGTTGGTGATTAAGTAGAATGTAATAGGCCCTTGGTATCTGCTGGCTTTTAGTTCCAGAACCATTTATGGATACCAAAATCTGTGGATGTTCAAGTCCTGTTAAATACAGTGGACTAGTAAAATGGTGTCCCTTATATAAAATGGCAAAATTAAGATTTACTATTTGGAAGTTGTATGTTTTTTAATATTTTTAAATATTCAAAGCTATGGATGCTTGAATCTATGGATACAGAGGGCTGACTGTATTCCTTAAAAGTGATTCAGTTGTAATGGAAGTCTTTTAAGGCCAAGACCTTCAGAGGAGTGATTTAACTAAAATGGATTTAAATCAAAACTACCCCTCAATAGAAATTGTAGACCAGGGTTCGGCAATCTTTGTTGCCGGGGGGCTGGGAGGGGGGGAATGGCACAGGGGCCTGGTGGGTGTGCGCACTTACGCACGTGTGCGCTTCCCCCTTGCACGCATGCGTATGACGCCCACTGTCGCCTGCATGCGTGCACGCGTGGGGAGCGCCATTTTGGAATGCCCCCCCCCATGCATGAGCCGTGTGATTTCGCCTAGCTCATGCACGGGCGGGGGGGGGCTTGGGAATGTCTCCCTGCGCGTGTGCCATGTGAATTCGCATGGGTGGCTGGGGGCTTGTGAACGCTCCCCCCCCCGCACTTGCACTGTGCAAATTCACCCGGCGCGCGGGTAGGGGCCTTCCCTAGGCCTTGTGAACGCCCCCCCATGCGTGCATCGTGCGAATTCCACGGGGGATTCCAAGGGGGACCTTGGGATCGCCCCTCCGCACGTGCGCTATGTGAATTCGCCTGGCGCATGGGCGAGGGGGCCTTCCCTGTGCCTTGGGAACACCCCCCCGCCCATGCGCTGGGCGAATTCGCCCGGCGCATGGGCGGGGGGGCATTCCCAAGGCCCAGGGAAGGCCCCACGGCGGCTGCAGCTGCCATGCGGCCTTCCAAAATGGCGCATGCCTGTGCTTGCGCACGACGGTGGGTGCCATTTTGAAACACCCAACGCGCCACTGTTGTGCGTCATGCGCACCACGCCGGCACGTTGGGCGTTCCAAAATGGCACCCGCCACCGTGCGCATGCTTGCACAAGTGCGGGCACCATTTTGGACGCAAAAATGGCACTCACGCACGTGGGGCACCAGCGGGACCGGCCACAGGTGGTCCCAAGGCCTCCGCGGGCTGCAGGTTGCTGACCCTTATTGTAGACCAACACTGGGTATGTCAGGTTTGAGGAAGATGCTCTGAGTGGCCCCCATGCTGGTGGCTTAACATGTGACCTCCCTGCTGTGCTCCCCCTGCCCAGGGTCGGACGTGGTGGACTGGCTGTACCACCATGTGGAGGGATTCCAGGACCGCCGAGAGGCCCGCAAATATGCCAGCAACCTGCTAAAAGCCGGCTTCATCCGACACACAGTCAACAAGATCACTTTTTCGGAGCAGTGCTACTACATCTTTGGAGATTTCAGTGGCTGCGAGAATTGTAAGCGGGGGTAGTTGCTTAAAGGTTTGGGAGTTTCTTTGGGGATGAAGGCGGAAGGGGCAGGTGCTGCTTTTAGAACTGTAAGTTAGGTCTGGGAATTTGAGGAATCTCATTCCAGAAGTTACTGGCGCTTGTTTTTTATTTCAACTTGTTCACTACTTTCTGCCCAAATACCTTGCAACCTGTGACATCTACTGAGAGTTTCCTTTGGACAAATCTTCAGGTTGCTCCGTCTCAGAGTCTCTGTTTAATTAGGATGACTAAGAAATAACACAAAACAAAGGAGTGTTCTGAAGCATCCTGCTGAATTAAAGCTAGTTCAACAGTCAAAACCAACCTATCTGAAATGATCTTGTTTGTTTTGACACTGATATTAGAAGTTTCCCCAGGGAGGGAGCATTGCAGATTGCTTAAAAAAATTGATCCCCCTTTGGTTATGCATGTTTACTTAGCAGGAGTTTACCTTTGCCCTCCTTTCAATATTCAGCTTCTTTCCATTCCATCTGGAAGTCTCCTTGCCCTCCTTTTCTCATCATTCTCCTCCAAAGCCAAACATGTTAAATAAATTAAGTCCTTGAAGCAGGATTGGCCTCCTTGGCTTGGGAGCATCCTGTACTGTCTCTCTCATAGTGTTCCCAGATTGAGTAACACTAGTACACCTTTCCTTTTAATGTCGTTCATAATGCAGGTGTGGGGAAAGTCCAGCCTGTGGGCTGGATGCAGCCCCGGGCCAGAAACTCATTTAGTTCCAGATGACCATTAGAGGGCATGGGGACAGTCTCTCCACATTCTAGGCTCAAGGGAGGCCCCTTTTCCAACAGGAAGTGATGTGGAAGTTGACTTGTGGATTATTTACTGTTGGGAAGAAGGCCTTTACTAGCCTTAAAGGCCCAAAGAAGGACACAAATGTATCAGAACCTTCCCGTAGAGGATGCTGGCAAACATTGGAGAAGCCAGATTTAAAATGTGGAGGGGGTGCAATGTGGTTGGCAGATGCCTACCCATGTGGGAGGGCTTCATTCCTGGTTCTCTTTTCTTTCCCACAGATATGGCCAACCTGTCACTCAATGACAACGACGGCTCCAGCGGGGCTTCTGACCAAGACACCCTGGCACCTTTGCCTCTGCCGGGTGCCACCCCTTGGCCCCTGATGCCAACGTTTTCCTATCAGTACCCGGCGCCCCACCCATACAGCACCCAGCCCCCACCATACCATGAGCTCTCTTC